CCGAGTTTATCATGGAGGTTTGAAGTAAGAACCATAAGTCTGGGTAAACTATGGAGGCTTGAAACTAAACCGTATGAGCAAAAGTTTAAAGAAAGAAGTCAATATCTAGAGTCAGAAATAGAGGTATTTTATCAGTTAAATACCGAGAATTTTTCATGAACAAGTTATTATTATTAGTAGGACTAGTCCTACCTAGTATGTTTTATGAGCATAAGTTTGCAAGTATCAGTCAAGTATTTTTCTCATTATTATCATGGCGACTTTAAATAAGAGTCACAATGCCGGATGATTATCAATATCAGATGTTCATGAATTTTGAATGATTATTTTAATAGTTAAAGAGCTGGGTAAATTATGGAGGCTTGAAATAATAGTCATTAATCCGAGTTTACCTGGAGATTAAACAGACACCAGTTGTTTAAAGTTCCATATTTTGAGAGTATCATTTAAAATCTCTCGAAAGAAATGGATAGTCTGTTTAATAAGACAGAGGTGAATAAAGTTTCATGCATATTCGTCAATAGTAGAAGGATCCGAAAGGATTCAAGTTTTATTCAAGCACACACTGTTGAGGATTTCACGACTACAAAAGAAGCTATTACAGATTCATCAGAAATAGCAAAACAGATGCATGAAATGCACATAAAGAAAAAGTGAATCCTCAACTAAAAGCCTTATATGTACATAAGGAGGGTGCGTCTCAAGGGTCTAATACCCCTTAACTCTGCCACCCATAGTCAGGGATCAAGGTTTATAAAGATAAATCTGGTGGATCGGATGGCCGTTTCCGCTTGGTCCCTGAAGTTTCCACAGAATCTTGAGAGATGCTCTCTTGAAGCTTTTTGATAAGTTCAGTAACAGTATCTGCACTTTTGAGAATTTTTCTGGTAGAATCAGAAATGAAAAGTTGAGATACGCTTTCATCAAGAAAGCCCAGAAAGCCATTTAGCATGTGATATGAATTTAATAGGCCAATAGGCTTATTATGAAGTTTCATGTCAGCCCAAGTGGCAATAGTAAGCATCATCATTAAAGTTTCATACCCTCCAGGAAGTATGATAAAAGCATCACTATGGTTCAGCATGAACATAGTACTATTATAAGAAGAGCTAGTAAGCATTAGACAGGTGGAAGCCTTGAGAACTTGTGAAGGTGTTTGGTGAAAAGGTAGAACACTTTTCACTTCAGTATCAAAGCACTTCCCAGCCAAGAACAAGTTATCATAAAAAGGGAGGCTAGTTCCTCCATACAGTAAAGAGATCTTTTGTTTTCCCAATTCTTTAACTAATTGGAAAACAATATCTAAATTTTGAGAAGAGGCTACAAGTTTGGAGCCACCAAGAACACAAATGGTTTTTATAGAAGGAAGAACTTTTGTGGCTTTAGAAGATTCAGGAGTCTCCATTTGAGTAGGGAGATATTTGAATGAAGAAAGGATGAGTTATTTAAAGGAAAGAGAAGGAGTATTATATTGTTTATACTCTGACAGAAGTAACGGACAAGTAAGCAGTTGAGCATTAATTAAGATGCTTATCAGAAGAAATCAGATACCTTGTTAACAGAGACGGTTATTGCAAACCGGTTCTTTAGCAATAAGGTTTTCAAGACTATAGCGGTTCTGTTCATTTTTGAAACAGGCCCATAAAGACATAAGCTCTCGATGTACATATCCGCTGGGATGTGTATCGAGAATTTCTGAAAGGGTTTGATAAAGGGATTCCTTGGTTAATCCATTTTTGATGAACGCTATTTTATCTTCGCGGTTTATGGAGGCAAAACCCAGGGATTTGCATCGAGTGTTGCAATTTGATCGAGCGCATTTGTAGCAGCCGCCTATCCGTTTTGCTCTACGTTTCTTTGCAAGGGAACTTCTGCCTATACCAGGCAGGAATTTATAAGATTGTGGATATTCGCCAAACAGTCGGACCTTTGCTTCAATCAGCCATCGTATATCGTTGGGGACATCATGGAGCATTAGCACTCTCAGTTTTTCCACTCGAGATTTGTAGATTCTTTTTATGATATTGATCGGAAGGTAGGAATATATTTTGCGGATATTGTGAAGTATCAGATCCATTGGTTGTTCGGACCATTGCTGAAGAAGATGAAGGATTATCAAGCTTGTTTATAGAAGATTAAAGAGTATGATGGAAGCTTGCAGAGATAAAGATCGGGCATTAAATTATATTTAATGTCAGTATACGTTTCAGAACACACAACCAGTACACATTTATTGTGGCAGAAACAGATATGAGATGTCGGCAATAATTGAAGAAGTTAATTATTGCAATGTTGACTATTATCAGAGATAAGATAAGTTACCCGATGTGGTATGATCAGTAATTGGGTAAAGTTATTTCATCTCAGTACAGAAAGTTCAAGTCAGATATGTTGAAGTTAAAAATGTTAAGTACTGATTATAATGCTTAATCAGAGATTTCCAGAAGCAGAAGCAGGTTCAGTATAGTAGATATTTTTAGCATTGTTGTTTGTGCAGGTAATTGTGACATTGTAGGTACATGTGTGTAAATGTCCTGCACCCGAAGGGCCCCGGGTAGTGGGTACATCTCATGCAAAGTGCCACATAGTCATGATGCGAGACAGGCTCAAGATTTCTAAGAGTTAGCAGAAGTCTTTAAGAAATGCATTTTCGCGATTCAATCTTTCTAAAAGTTCGACCAATGCGAGGTGTCGTTCGTTTCAGGAAGAAAGGTAAGTTTTATTGAATAATTCATTCAAATTTTATGAATGAACGAGTAGTTTTACCTTCCAAGTTGGTTAGTATGTGTAATATTTTCACGTATTGACAATACGTGCATTCGTGAGCGATCCAAAGCATGTGCTTTAGCACAATAAGATTCAGTTTCATCCAGATTAAACTTACGAGGGATAGCCGGCATTAATTTGAACCAAAAGGTTCATTGGCTAAGGAATCAAGTTATTCCCCTTGTTTGTATAAAATGGAATCGCTACGAAGAGTAAGATGTCACTTGGAAGCAATAAGTTAATATTAGAACTCGATTTCCAGATTTTGAGTTCTGATATATCAGGAAGTAAGTATGTTTTAAGTTTTAGTATTCAGTTTCAGTATTTCCGGGGACGGAAATAGTTTAAGGGGGTAGATTGTAATATCCCATTCAGTTATTAGTAATAAGTATCAGTTAAATTCTAAAAATTAAGCTATTATGAAGCTTAAAAAGTTAGAATTTTAAGTTTTTCAAGTCACACGGGTCGTGTGGGTAGCCACACGAGTCGTGTGAAGTCACACGGGTCGTGTCACAAGTGACACGGGTCGTGTGGCTTAAGGCATTTTCAGAAATTAGTTTCGGGAGTTTCACACGAGTCGTGTGAAGTCACACGAGTCGTGTGACTTAATGACACGAGTCGTGTGAGTCTGGAGCATCAGAATTTTAAGTTCGACTTTTTCACACGAGTCGTGTGACCAAGTGACACGAGTCGTGTGAAGTCACACGAGTCGTGTGGCAAAGTGACACGGGTCGTGTGACTAGTAAAAGTTTAGATTTTCGAGTTTTTGGTTTTTGTGCCAATTAAAGTTCATTTTAATCATTTTATTATGCATGATAATATAGTGGAGATTATGAGTTATTTGAGTTTTAAAGTGTTATGATATTATGCATATAAGTGATTTTATGATTATGGTAGAAATTGATATTTAATATCATAATTTGTATTAAGTTCATGTATTATATGTCAATTATACATGTTGAGCTGATGTTTTGTGTTGACTAATTTTGTCATAATAGTTGATGAGAAGTTGATGATAGTTAGATGAGAAATTGTTGAAAGTTGATGAGAATTTGGTGAAAGTTGATGAGATGATGATGATGGCTAATGTTGATAGTCAAAATGGATGATTCAAATCTGATTTTTATTTCAAAATATTTTAATTCAAAAGTTTTGCCTATAAATAGTAAGCTTCAAGACTTGAAATTTTACACCAAAGTTATATTATCAAAGTTATATTGAGAGTTAAGTGAGGATTTTTGAGGGCAAAGCTTTTGGAGTAAAGGAGTTCAAAGTTCAAGTCTTGCAAATTTCAAGTTCAAGTCTTTCAAGTTCATATCAAGTCTTTCAAATTTCATTTCAAGTCCTTGAAGGAGGTAATTCTTGTATTTGAGGTTTGATTTATGTTCTAAAAGTATGTTGATAAGTTAAGTGGAGATTATGATTCATGAAGTTGATATATGTTAT